ACGTTTTTTCAACATTTTAGCTGTTGTTGATCAATACCGTAAGGCACCACAATTACTTTTATTTTAATGTTTTTTAAAAAACCTTATATAACTGGTATATAAACAAGTTAATGCGATCTATTAATCAATTCTTTTGTTTAATGGAAAATAGTTCCATTAACTTATTTTGCTCTACTCTTAAAAACAAATGAATCATGTAGTAAATTATAAAATATTAGAAACCACTTTTATTGCACTCTTTACAAGAAGATTAGCTTTTAATTAAATAATACTTTTAACATATAACTTAAAAAAATAGTTTTCATATATAATAGTGAAATTGGTTTAATGAGAACTTTGTTGAAATATAGTTACGAGTATAAACGTTTTTTAATCATGGTTATAAATTAAAATTTGAAAATATGAACTTTAATGTAATTAGAATCTGTATTGTGTGGTTTGTAGTAGACTAACGCGTAGCCTAACCATGTAATTTACAATTTGTAAAACACATTTTAAAGCGTATTGTGAGATAAGAGAGAACCCAAATGGTTAAAATATGTTGCAAGAAACGTATTAGACAACTGAACGAAATCAAAAAAGTATTTACTTTTTCTTAAAAAACATTGTATTCCTTAGCTTTATAATAATGTATTTATATTTGTATGACTATGTGATATACGTAAATAAAAGAAAGTAATATGAAAAACTCATACAAGAAAAATTTAAATTTCCTCTCCTCCATATACTATTGAAATTATTTGAATCTATATTTAGTGTATAATAGTTCAAGAACAGCAAATTACATCCTTTATATATTTCATTTTGGAAAAATATCTATTAAATAAGAATTGCAAGGGAATAAGGCATAAAAAATGAAAATGACTACAACTTTATTCTATGATTTCGAAACTAAATTGCAAAAAAAAATCCTTTAGATTAATTTTAAGTCCCAGAACGCTGCAAGTTTTGTTCTTTTCAATATCCCATGCCACCACTTGTTGAATAGCAATCAATTTTTAGTGTCTTTTTTTTTTATTGAACAAAGTTGTAACGTTAGATGACAACTAAAGTTGCTCTGGAAAAACGGTTTCCCCGTTGAAATCTTGTAGGGATTATTGTAGGCGTTATTGCTAAAAAAATTTACTGTTCTTGATTCTTTTTCAAGAAAAAAATGTTTTATATTTTTTATGTTTTTCTTAGATTTGTAGAAAAATATTTGAGAAAAGAAAATTGTAACACATAAAAGTAAAAGACTTTTTGACTTCAACAAGAAGAAACAACAAAAAAAAATAAAGGCAATAAAAAGGACTTCCAAAATGAAATAAAAAGGTTTAAAAAAAGTTTTAAAATTTTTTCATGATCAAGAAATTAAAATACAAATTTTCTTTTATGGTATTTTAGGTTACGAAAGTTTGAAAGACCGAAATATTTGGGATTTTTATTTTTTGAGAAATTTTTCAAATTATTTTAGATTTTATTTTAACCAAATTTTGAAATAATTGATTTTTAATTGTTTTCTAATATTTGTTCCCATTAGTGCTCCCCAACAAATGATCCTTTTGTAATTTCAAGGAATGCCAACTATGAAAGTTGCTCAGTCAAATTAATATTTATAACAACAACAACAACAAAAAGGTTATAGAAGAAGAATATTTTTCAATAAAAAATTTAAAAATTAAAGTGGCTAAACAAATAAGAGACAATAAACAAAATGAAAAGCTCTTTAAAATAATTCTTGATTTTTTAAACAAACATTTTTTCTCTAAAAACTGAAACTCCAACGAAAAATAACCCATTCTAATAATACAGAGCATTGCACAAAATTATAAAGTTCAGAAATAAAATGAATTTAATGTCACGTTAAAAATACTACAAATCTTCTACATTTTTGACGGAGACCGCAAACAATTATTTGATGTTTTTAAAATGAAAAAAAAATTGAAGATATTTTTAATTATAAAAGCGAATATAGAAGTTTTGGGCTTAGGTTTTGTTCTCGTCTTCTTAAAAAAAAGGAATGAATTTTTTTATAAAATTTCTTTATTTGTTTAAAAAAAAAAAACTTCTAGTTTTATGTATATATACTAAATATAAAACTAATTTACCAATATTTGTCCCAATTAAAAAAATGAAGATTTCAATAAGTTTCATTAGTTTTAGGTATGACATCTGCCTCATATCTTTCATTAGGTAAATTTTTCCGTCCATTCATCGTATATTTTGTTGCTTTGAAGTCACATAGGTTCTTCTATATAAGAGAATGGACAGGACAAGAGTATGAAAAGAAATAAATTATTGGAATAAAAATACCACCCCTTGAAACAATGAAAATAATTTTATTTTCATGCTTGAATGAAGAATGCAGCAGAAAGGAGGGTAAGAGATTTATACGAAATTTATAATAATTTTCCTACAATTTTCCTGTATAGAGTATTGTGTAAAAGAACTAAAATATGATTTTGAATTGTTGAGTTTTTCATAAAAATTTTTTTTATGAGAATTATTCTCTTGATTTACTCTATTGTTTTTTTGTACTACTGTCATACTTAGCAATGTTTCAATACAGTTTCCATAAATTTTATTATGGAACTCACATCACTCCATAGTCTGGAAACTTGAATGTCTGTTCGAAATAATAAATATGATATATTGTTTGAAGTAGATCTAAAAAATATAATTTTTCTTTATGCCGATATTTTTCGACTTATATAATGATCTAGCAGTTCTTTTTCAAAATACTATTGAACTACTACAGACACTTTTACCTATTAGCACGTTTATATGTAATATTGACTTAACAAATTTAAATAAACAAAATAAACTATATTGTCATAGTTTAAATATACTCTCTGCCCAAAATCAATTAATACCATTCAAGAAGTTATGCAACATATCTTAACAATGAACTTGGAAATCAAAGGTGCTTTCCTTTCTAGATTTAAACACAAGATTTACTTAAAATTTATTTCTATAAATTAATCAATTACGATTATCAAAAATTCATAAGTAAACTTTAACTCCCACTAAAGTTATAAATTCCAACAATAATAGAACGAGAACCAAAAGGTGTTGAAAAATTTTACTTCAGGTAAAATTAAAAATTGTGGATGTTAAAAAAGAACAAAAAGAAGATATATCAGAATAACTGAGATATAAAAAGAAATACTGAGATATGAGAATTTGATACAATAATTCTGATATATTCTGAACGTCCAGAAAATAATTTAGCATTGGAGATGGGCATTTTTTTTTGCAAATAAAACACAATTTTTTTTATAATTTTCTTATTTTGACCAATCTTGCTCTTTTTTTTTATTTTAGATTTTAGATAAAACCATGAGTTTCAATTCAAAACTAATGTGTAGAGAAAAATATAGGTGGGCACAATGTGAAAATGTTTTAGAATAAATTGTCAAATGTTGTTATTAAATTATTTATTTTTAATATTGAAATGTGTTTACTTTGCTTATTTATGCATTGTGGTTGTTTCAATTGTACATAGAATATATTAACATCCCACTTTTAATTTATAAAATGTAGAAATTTATAGGAATTGTAAGATTACTTGAAGTAAAACGAAAGTACTTTAAATCATCAAAACAAAACAATTAACGTATTGCAAATTATTAACTTTTAAAAGTAAATTTCCTATCTATTTGATCACATTAAAATCAAAAAAAAATATTCATTAACAATATTTGTTAAAAACAAAAATGATTAAAAAATGGTATTTTCAACACCACCTTGACACACCATTTGCCCACAATGCTCATTATTTACGAATCATATACAATAAATTAATTTTAAACCTTCCCAGAAACCACGGATATTTCAGAAATCAAAGAAAAATCTGAAAGATCACGTATTATTCTTTGAATTTGGTTATTTATTTCATTTGTAGTTGTCTAGTAATAAATAATAAATAATCAAACTTTTATTTTTTATCATCCTTAATGATTTATATTGAGCATTTTATAGAAAGAACATTCAACAGCATCGCAATATCAAACAATTATCGATTCACAATTGATCCTTTTCACTAAGTAGACCATATAACAACTATGATATAGATTTCTCTTTTTTTGTTTTTTTTTTTTGTTTTGTATAAATCATACAATTCCAATAAATCCTTAAAACCAAAATGAAATAACAAAAGAAAAATTAAGCAAAAAAAAAAGAAAAGAGCTCTCGCTAAATAATTCCAATTGCAAAAAAATATGTAACTTTGATTGAAAAATATTTTTATTTACAGTTTTATTTTTTTTTTTTCAGGAAACAGAGTCCTTGGTATTTTTAAATACAAACGTAACTTGGTCGAGCATTGTTAATGTGATGTTTCATTCCGAAAGTTAAATTAATTTTTAAAATAAAAATGTGTACATATTTGTCAAGTTCTTAAAGGTTTTAGTAATACTTGAGAACTCATTTCATTTGCATTATTAAAGTAGAGAAAACAAACTCGAAATTTATTAAATTTGATTATCACAGTTTTCTACATTCTGTTTATTTTTTAAAAATCCTAAGGTATGTCAGAACAACTTTAAATTTGTTCCTTTTTTTTTGTATCGTAATTATTATTATTTTATTTAAACAATACGTGCCACTTTATAACACACCGTATACATACATACATACATACATGTATGAATTCTTTTTTCGATAATCGGATTATATACATTTCGAGAGCAATAAGCCCTCTATCTTATATTTTTGTTTGTAGGTAAATTAGTCCTTTTTATTAAACAATTCAAAAATTTGAGTTTATTTATTGAAAACAGCTTTGCTATAAGTTTTGTAACGATTATCTTTCGGTTTTGCAAAAAAGAGAAAACACACTTTTATTTTTTTTATTTTCAATTGCATTCGATTCTCCAAAAATATTCATTACAATAAAACATTAAATAACACATTCATTATTTATAATCACATTATCATTTATCATAAAAGATAAAAATCAAATAAAACGTAAGTAAATCTGAAAATGCGTGTTTAAAACATAATAATTGAAAAATAATCAATCGGAACCAAACCAAAAAAATTTACTTTATTGAATCTTTTGTTATTAGTAAAGCTTTGGGTGAACTTAAATTATCTTCAACTTCCAGTGGAAAATCATCATCACCAAATTTAGCAATACCCGTTTCTACAAAATTTTCATACATTTCTAAAAATTTTGCCGACAAGTTCCTTTCAATTTCTGTCCATGGATGGGAATCACGAATGTTTGATTTTAATATCAAAAGCAAATCATCTCCATGAATTGTACCAAAATTCATTTCTGGACGATTTGATATTACATTTGCAAAACCATATGGAGGTGGGTTATCATAGACATAATAATATGTTGGTGCTTTACTAAATTCTCTTTGTAATTTAACAGCATCTTGAATTGGTTCAATCATTAATTCATCAGACAGCATACGTTGTATATTCCAATAATTCTCCTCTGTTATATCACTTTTCTCTTTTAAACTGTATTGTCTTTTTAAATATGATGTCATCATTTCTCTATCAACTTTATCATTATTATCATAATAAAGAATTATTGGTAAAATTTCATCAAATTTTTCACTAAATTCTACAAAATTTTTAGTTCCATTTTCGTTTGAATTCAATAAAATTGATGCGATAATTGCGCCATCATCCGCGCAACTTGACACTATCCATGGTATATTTGCCATATTACCACTATGTATTATATTTTCTGGAAAATCCGTAATAAATGGATCTGAAACACTATTAGGTTCTACAACAGGACCGAATATTGATATTGGAAGATTTAAAAATTTTGTAAATAATGTAGATCCTTTCGTTACCAATTCATTGCCATCGATTTTTTTTAAACAATTTTTAACTGCCATACCATTATCCATTGGGCATTTAAATTCGGTGGCAATAGCTATTGTTTTATTCATTGGCGAGAAATCAAACGCCCATGGATTAAATGCTGATCCAGAATATGAAATTGCAACTTTTGTAAGATTTTCGGTTGCCTTCGACATTAAATGCAAATGAACACTGGAACCACCAGCAGAAAAACCACTTAATATAATTTTTTCTGGATCTCCATTAAATTTTTCAATATTATCTTTAATCCACATTAATGCTAATTTTTGATCTTTTAAACCCATATTACCGGGTATCGCCTTACAATTCGTTGATAAAAATCCTAATGGTCCAAGTCTATAATTCAAAGAAACAAAAACAAATTTACCAGATTCCATAATAATTTCTTCTCCAAACATATGATCTGATCCCACACGATAGGCGCCACCATGAATATACACAAAAACCGGATAACTCTTTTCTTTCTCTAAATCTGGAGTAAATACATTTAAATATAAGCAATCTTCGCTACCAATTACCCCCGAATTATCAGGATCATATTGCAAACAAGGTTGATGTGTTTGCTTTGTAGCGTCTCTTATATTCCATTTAGTTTTATATGGTTTCGGTGGTTCTAAACGATTTTCATCAATTGGCGGTTCAGCATACGGAATCGATTCAAAAGAAATATAACCGTTTTTAAATTTTCCAATTAAATTACCGAGGGGAAGTTCTACCGTAATATTTTCTGATACTACCGACCGAATTTCAAAAACAGAAAATATAAAGAAAATTGAGATTAAAATCATATTTTCACCATTGACTAATACAATCCGCGAGTGTTTTAAAATAGTAAATATTAATGAAAACCTCGAAGTACTTATATTTATATGCAAATTATCTATCGTGACAATTTCCCATTAGTATGAAAATGATAAGCAAAAACCAAATTATTTTACTGCTATTATTTATCTTAATTTTTTATTTAAAAACTATTAAAGCTTAATTTTGTAATAATTGACTGCATTCGCTTGAATTAAACCTATTTTGTCAATCATAATCACAACATGTACAATTTTGTAAAATACAACCTAGTTTCGCTGAAGATATACACAATGTTATTACGTATTATTAAAGGCTAGTGAAACTGTAATAAGGTTTGTTCTTAAAACACGAACTTATTTTTAATATTTGTAATTCAGTGTAGAACAAATTTTTCCATGAGAATTTTTGTATTACACAAATTACCTTTATCATGCCTAATTATTTTAAAGTTTTGTTAAATATAGATTTAATAGACAATTAAATAAATTGAGCTTTAAATAATTGCAACAAAATATAAAACATAATTTATGAGCAAAACGATATTTCATTAAATAAATTATCACAATTCAAAATTCAAACATGAACTCTTCATTTAATTTAAATTATTAGAATTATTATAAATATCATTAATTGACTTATTTTAAAGGTAATATGATTTATAATTGTTTATGAATAGACAATTTTAATATAAAAATTTAAATTGTAATGTACATATCATGTATTTATAATATACGAAATATTATACTATACAGTTTTTATTCTTACATTGTTGCATGATATTCATTATTTTGTTTTAAGTTTCTCTAATTTAAGTATAATCCTTTCAACTTCAGTAACAATTCTTTTCATAAGAAACATAGTTTAAATGTTGATCAAATATTACTTATGCATGTTTACATGTAAACTAATATACTGCATGTTTTCCTCACAAACCAAAATTTTAAAATAACTTGCAAAATAAATTTTTTTAAACCTTTTTTATTATTTCAAAAAAATCAAGGAAAAATATTTGAAAGGTTAATAGAAAGAGCATAAAAGTTTTATTTAGTTCTGTAATGACAATTCGTTGTTACTATATTTGAGTGAGTTCTTGTCTTTCATCTTTCATTACCACATTCATTTTTTTTAGCATTTTTTTTTCCTCCGCACAGCTTTTTTCCCTAAAATCTAGATTAATAATTGATTAATTTTACATTGTAATTCAATTGTAATTTTGAAAAAAAAAATTGTGAATGGTGAATTTTAAATGGGAATTTTTTTCACCATTGTGATTCACCACACACACACACTTCAAACACTAATTTAACTCTTGCGGTCAAATTTTGAAATACATAATTTTAATATGTCATAATAAAAATAACCGTTCGAGAAACGAACCAATAAATTTTACTAAATTATGCTTTCCTTCCATTTTGTTTCATTTTTGCGACAGAGACATCTGACGCAAAATAATAAAACTCTTTTAAAAAAAAAGCAAAGACGCACATATGTATTCTTTTTGTACTCTTTTTGACGCAACTGTGTAAGCATACCATTTGTTTTATTGCAAATTTTTTATACATATTGTTCTTTTTTTACATATGATTCAGCTTAAAAGCAGACTGCTGAATTATATGTGAAAAAGAAATAAAAGAAGATTAAATTTATAAATATTTTCAAAATATGTACATACATAGATTTTTAGAAACAAGTTACTTGAAAATGATTCTTTCTAATACAGAATGTTTCGAACATCACTTACATAATTATGCATATACAACTTTTATTTATTTTATTTTAATGTAAGAGTTATTTTTTTCACAATTTTAAATCACTATTCAAATAACTGTTAAATTTAAATATGCGCGCTTGTTTTACTACACTTTTCGATTTCATAAGAAAATTTTAAACTTTAAATGAATATATGTTATACATATACATATGTGTATGCACTTTGTTCTGATATACATAAATCAATCTACCTACCAAGAAAGCAAATACCATTAACAGTAATCGATATCTGATTTCTTTTAATAAAACAAAATAAAAATTTAAAATAGAAATATAAAATACGGTCATAAAAATTTTTTAAGGATTCTTTTACTTAAGTAATCAAACTAACTAATTTCGTCATTCATTAATTTACATATATAAATATAGTATTCTACAATCAACATTATTAACACAACTTACATAACTTTCTTACGCAAATATCACGTATAGGAATTATAAAATAAACACAAGGATATTGGGCTTCTTACAATTTGTTGTTATATCGCAGTTTCATTTAAAGACAATAAATAAGCTTTATAATCTTACTATAGCGAAATGCAATTCTAAATTAACAAATTTTCTTAAATGCACTAATTTTACCTTACTTGCGCATACATCAATGCCTTTCCAAACTAATTTATAGTTTACAGAACTGGCACAGATTCATGAAGGATGTTAGACGACGTGTTTCGAAGTTTGTCGATGAGGGTTTCTTACTGGTCTATTATTAGTAATTGAAGCAGTTTTTAGTAATATGCGGCGCGCCCTATTACCATGTTACTGCTATTATTACTTCTACTGCAATTACTACTGTGAAAATAGAATCGAAGCGGTGAGCAGCAAAGGCGAATGATTTTCGTCCGTTATTAACCCAGAACGGAACGGCAAAATGAATTTAGCAAAAAACATTATAATTACACACACATGTAATGTAAACAGATAATATGCCGTGAAATTCGCGTCGGTAATTTCTCTTGATTCTGGGCAGTCCCATTTAAATATATTCATTCTATATGAATTTTGATATTTCGCCGGGGAAAATCGCCCTTGTTCTGCATTCAATTTTACTTCTACTACATCTATCACTATTACTATTGCTACTACAACCAATATTGGCAATATTAAGTACTATAGCTGCTACCGCTAAGAATTAGCAATATTAGCTACTTTATTATTGTTAAAATGTGCTACTACATCTAATACTGTTTAGTTACTTCAATTAAAAGTTGTATGAAATATAAATTACAATTTTTAGATATTATATTCTCTTATTTAGCTATAATCTTTTACATTTCTATTCTTTACATTCTGTATTTTTTTACCCGTTCTTCCGTTACCTACCGTATAAAACATTTTTCATTATTTTTGATACATATGGATTATTGTAAACTTTGTATTTGCCAACACTATAATATGATCTAAATCTAAAGACTTAATATGCTCAGTCAGCATAGTACAATCACTGTTACAAATTATCATTCATATTTTTATAAATTGTACTTGATTACTTGTATTTGTTTTTGTTTGGTTTTGCTTTTGTTTCGTTTTTATATGTTTATTGTTGTTATATTTTAAAATTTATTTTTAGTCAGTTTCAGTTCTTATCAATCCGTCGTGTTATAATGTTGTGAGATTTTAATGTGCTGCGCAGTTTTTTTTTTATTAGAGTTGTTTCAAATATTAAAATAAAAATTTTTGTTGTTGTTAATTTTTGTTTTTCTATTTTTATTCAGTAAATACAATTTTTTTTTTAAATTAGACCTTGTAATCTAAGAATAAATTTTCGTTATAATTTTCTATTAATTTAAATGAAAATATAAAAATTAAAGAGTGCTTTCTAAACAGCGCTATCGGAGAAGATCATCGTGTTTATCGTCTTCTTTATTCTTTATTTAATAAAAAAAATCATATTTAAGTTTATATTTTTTATTTATTTAATATTTCATATTTTTTTTTCTATTTTGAAAAAGAAAACAATTTTGAAATCACATGTTATATTTTTTGTTAATACATTTTAAATATATTTAATGTATCAATGTATGAGTGGACATGAGATAAAATGATGACAATAAAAAAATTCTCGTTTCTATTATTCTTTTAGCATAAAAAAGAAAAATGTTCGGTAATTCAATAAAAAAAATATACGGAAGTTAAGTTTTCATTAAGTTTAACGAACTTTATTTAAATATTAAAATTTAATCATTTAGATAGATACTTTTTATACCAATAAATTTCTTATATTTTTAAGAATTGTGTTATTTGATAAAAATTAGAGACTTAAAACATAATTATTAATCAATAACGTTTCCATCCATTTATGGTTCTTCTTTATTTTTGGGTAAGTTAGAACTTCACATTCACAACATTTTATATTTAGGCTTATGCAAACATATTTTATGCAAATTTCTATATTAAAACTTCAATTTTTTCTAATATTTTAGTTATTAACCCAACATCCAGTCCATATTTATGTTAATTTAAAATACCAAAGACAAAATATAAAACAAAAATTGTTACTATATTGGTATGTTAATAGAAATGTGTTTGTATAAAACTGCACAGAGAAAAACAAAGCTGTAAGATTAAAAATTTTAAATTTCTCAATACATACATTATGTTCAGCAAAGGAGAATTTTGTTTTTCTATAAAAAAAAATTAATTACCAATTTTGTTACAGTTCAAATTTTTTTTTTTATTATAATTTATTATTTTATTTTTTAATTGATACTATTTTATAATTGCGTAACAATCCAAAAAAAATTTTATAATTACACATATGGAATTTTATACATAGGACAATATTACTTAGTAAATACCTACATAGAACAGAAAATTCATAGAAATTTCAGAATAAAATTAATATCTAGAGTGAAATAAAGAATTTGGTGTTGTGTATTATACTTAACATATCGGATATGCGTGTTGAAGTCTACAATTGTAATCGCCACATTGAGTTTTTGATATCACCTTTAGCTGTATCTAATCTTTAGATTTACTTTCACACAAATATAATAAAAAATATATAATAATATGATATGGAATATGCCTTGTGTAGATACTTATACAAATATAATAATATGTTTGTACATATAGGTTTTTTTCATTTCATTTTCAATATATCAATTAAGAATTGTAAATTTTATGTTGTCATTGAATATGGGTTAATTTATTAACCAATTTGATATATTTTACTATGAATTTTGTACAATATTTTCGAGATATTATCCTATAAACGAATTATGCAAAATAAATTTTTATATGTATTTACGTTTTCATTCACATCTGCAATTTTATCTCTGCGATATAAAAACGTTATAATAATTAATTAATTCATACATTTTGAATTAAAACAAATCTTGCCGAGTGTTTTGCCCGATTGAACCAGGATTTTATATTAAAAAATTTTGAAAAATAATTATTATTTAAAATTATTATTTTTAAGTATAATTTAAATAAATAAATATTTTTCCGACATTCAGTTAATTAATAAAATAAAGAGAAATATGTATATACATATTAAAAATAATGCATATATTTTACCCATATAATTCGGTATCATCTAATAACCACTTAAAAATGTGTGACAATACGTATAAATCCGATTATAATAGTGCATGAAATACATACAATATTTATTATTCTATATATACCATGCTATAAAATATTCGTTGATAAGAAGAGGTTAATTTGAAAGATTATTTTCTCTCAGTATTTATTAAGTTATTTATATTAAATAAATATTGAAGATAAGCATTGAACTAGGATATACAAATGTTTTTATACAAGTATTTAACAACAAGTTCACAAAATAAATATCCTTAGTTTTGATTATTTTAGATTTAAAAAAACAATCATTTAGCTTTATTTCAAGATTAGAGGTGTATTCAATTTTTTTTTGTATATTAAAGTTATGACCAAAGCCTGCATAACTTTTTTATAAAACGTAAATGGAATTAAAATAGAAAATTGTAACACAATTTTTCTGTCTGCCGCGTTTTTATTCAAATTTTGTTATTTCATTAATACATAAATTCAAGTTAAGATAAAATTATTTTTGAAAACGGGAAATAAATGAATAAAATGAAATTATTTTGAACTTTCCAAAAATTATTTCACTCAAATCTGTTGACTTTTTTATATTTTTTTTTTATTTAATATCTAAATTTTTTTCCATCCGTTCTAAGTTTTAATGTAAGCGTAATAAAATAAGGTAGATTTTTTTTTAGTAATTTATAACTAAATTTATAGTAGCTTATAATTTTACAATTTACTAAATGGAATAATTGCTCGAATTCATTAAATTGTAATACTCATGCATTTTTTAATTAAACTTAAACATTGGTTTAAGAATAATAATTTTTTTATTTACAATAATAATTTTATTTGTCATTATAAAATTTAATTAGCTTCGATACAGAAAAAAAATATTTCTCTTAAAACAACATTTTTAAGTAAAATTTTTCTTTGCAACAGAAATAATTAAATAAATAATTGGTTTTGTTATTTTAATTAAATATGCACGCATAATGTTACAATTCTTTAAGTAACATACTGTTGTATATTTGTTGCCTAAATAAAATTTTATAATCTCAATTAATAATCATAATTTTCACAAAATTTTCCATTGCGATCAACTTAATTTTTCTGAGTGTTTTATTATATAACTGTGTAATAATATGAAATGCATAATTTACAAAGAAGCAAATTCTAAACCTATGAAGTTATGAGCAATTTTTTCTCTTAATAACAAAAGAATTTAATTTTAAGACGTAATTGAACAAATAATTCTCGCTTTAATAATCATTGTAGTTAAGAATTTATTCATAGGGGAAGTTTTTGAATTTTCTTTTTTTTTTTAGTTTCCTAAAAAGATATTCCATCTATATGTAATCAATCATTACTAGTTTTAAGTATTAAAAAATAAAAATGATTTAACATGTTGTGAATATTTATTATTCTCACTTATTTTATTTACTAACATTTGTTTTTCTATAATTTTTTAAATAACTATAGTCAAGTTATAATAAAATTACAGCTATGAAACGCTATCCGATTTTTTTTTGTATGTTGCTTTCGTATGATTGATGGATTGTGCAAAATGCTCTCCCATCTGCATATTTAGACCAAATATTGACTTGATCTCAAGGTATATTCGTATTTTGTAAGACTTTGCAAAATAGTACAAACTTCGGTATTCCTGAATGACATAATATTCAATCCCCTTGGTTTAATATTTAATTGTGAAATTGATTGACTCATAATACTTAGAAATTATTAGTCGATAAAAGCAAAGATTCTAAATCTTTATTTTTTAGTGTAAGACCATTTACCTAAAGTCAAACCAATCTACCTGCTGCATATTATTCAACCATTCGCATTTTTTAGCCGAATAGTATTGTTCAATAAGTATAAAATAGGTGTTTGTCCTGACTTGCATTTTGGTAAATAATATTTTATTTAAAAGATTTTGATAGTTTTAGAAAAAACAAATAGCTATGTTCCAAATAAATCCTAATTAATTAAGAATACTAATAATTCCTAATGCTGTATTATTAGTCAATTTAACTTTATTATGTTAATTGCTGAATTGAGTGATGACTGGAATTTCGATTTCAGAGTTACTGAAAATATTACTTCAAATAATAACTAGGTGCATATGTATATAAAAACTCAGTTTTCTTTGTAGCTAGACATATCCGTACTTCCCCGCCACTTTTAAAAAATTTCGACAAAAAAAATGATTCCAGATCCAAGTGACGTTAACATAACGGTTATTAAAAATGAAGCCTGACCGGCTTATCGAATTATGATACTTATAGTACTATCCATTTACATACATATATTTTATGTACATACATCATGAACGGAATTATATTTTTTTTCGGATCCGAAAGCATTGCATAGACATGTCAATATAGTTTAAGATGGTAGAATATTTGCAAAAGTAAACATTTAGATGTATAATTCATAAAACCGGACTTATAATAAGTTTAACTTAAATTTTTTTTATACTTTTCGGACAAAATGTTAAAAAAAAATTCTTGATAATGTGTATGGAACGTAATGTATGTACATAATACAAAAAAAAATAAAAAAACAAAAACTAAAACCTATTTTTGTTTCATAGTTGTTGAAAGCGAGCAAGAACATAAAAACAATAACATGAAATAGAGTTTTTAGGTGGCTTAGACACATACATACATATGTACGTTTACATATTGCTGTTGTGTAATAAGATGTTGTGAAATAGGAAATGTACTTAATAATTTAAAAAATTTAATAATTCAAATAAGTATTCAATAATACATGCCGGAGAGTTACTTTATGAAAAAAAAAATTTAAAACAAAGTTTCAAATTAAAAAAACAAATGAATAAAATTTATAGAATTTTCTATTTTTTGTTTTTTTTTTACGTCATTTAGTGGAATAATATCGCAAAATTATCTAAAATATATTTATGTATGTACATACCCATATCTTTATATTAAATTGTTAACCCATGCAATGTGTTGGTATAAAAAATTCAAATTTCCGATCGTAACTGTACTTAACAGACTTTACAGTATTTTCAATAACTTGACACTCAAAGTGGATTAATACTAAGTGCTTAGTCTTAAAAGTTGATTTAATTTAAAAACAAGAAATTATATATACTAACTGATACATTATCAGGCTATAAATTCATATGCAATGTACACATATGTAATTGTTACTAGTTGTTAATAAACACATTTTTTAATTAGTTATACCAGCCGTGCTTTAACTTCTACTTAACTAGTGCTCAAGTATTAAAAAAGTAACTGTTTTGCCATAAATAATGCAAAATTAAAAATTGATTTTTTTTTTGACGAAGTACAAAATAATGTTATTGTTAATAGTATAGTTGTAGATTGTCCTACAGTTGACCAGCAAGCATATAAGTTTCCTATAGAACTTTTTTTTATAAATAAGAATAAATACTTGATATTTTATAAACTAGTGTTATAATACTCTTTTATAAGTATACATATATGTAAGTGTTAATAATTTTAGCTTATTGACGTTAACATAATAATATTGTAATATGTAGTTATTTATCTAAATCGAGTTTACGATCTACACGTTGTGCAATAAAAGAATTTTATATATACCTATATACTTATGTATGGAATTGTAAAAAATACGAAATTTGCAAAAGTAGTTAAATTTATAATAATCTTCATTTCTTAGAAATATTTTAATTGTTAAAACCAGCGATTGGTGTTGGAACTTATAATAAATAATGATAACAAATTATTACCGTTCAAATATAAACTCATGGAGATCGTACGTTCAACTTTACGAACATGAGGTACAAAG